CCCCCCCCCCCCCCCCCCCCCATCCGCAGATCCGTACTCATTTACAGAACGGGCTCCGAAGTTCAGCAATTCAATCACTTTAGCCATTAATCTGTTTATTACTACTTCATCAAGGAATGAGATAAAAATAAAATGAGTGTTCAAGGGCCCAGTATTTTCCATACAAGACTTGTGATGTAGCACTGCTTGTGATGTAAAAATCGAAAAAAAAAAACAATACATTAAATGCAGATTTTGGATAAAAAACGCGCATGGAAAACTGCACTTTAAACCAAGAAAACAGCATAAAAACATACGAATTAAATAAAAATTTTGAAAAAATTCGCAACGTTTTGTATTTGTATGTTGGACCCGATCCAAGCACCAAATAAGCTCGATGATGTTCTATTGTGAAGTCAGAATCAACACTTTCTCCATATTTTATTCTTCGATGCAGGGGAGCACGGGAAATAGCACGAGATTGTAAATCGAGAACGATTCGTTATCGTGGCTGTGTTCTTTTTTTTTAACGAAACGCACTATTCTGGTGAATAAATATATCGGATCATAAGGTTTTTGCGATTTTTGAGACCCTGTTTCCTGAGGGATACCTAGTGACAGGAGGCATAATTGGACTGTCTCCCAGAGATGCATCTCGGTGCCAGTTTTATGCAAAAATAATTGGTCTTCTTCAACAGTAAGTAGATATAAATTGATGTAAGTGAATAAAAGTAAAGCAAAAAAAGTAAAAAAAAAAACAGCATACAGAAATGGCAATTATAAATGTGGAAAGGAAAAAATCAAAACTATACATACATAGTTTTGACTCTTTCCTTATGTGTATGTTTATGCATATGTACATTGACATAGATATAAGAACCATATATGTATATATAATTTTTTAACAATAAATTAAATTTGCCTCTGCCACCTCACTCTTTAGCGTTGCCTGGAAGTTCTTTCCAGGTGTTGTGCTCTCATTCTGTATTTACAGCTAAGGGGTGAAAAAAAAATATGCTCTCCAATATTTCCATTGCTATATAATAGAATAAATAATAGGTTATATTAACAAAGGATGAAAGAAGAGGAAGAGTAAAAAGGTATGAGATGAGAATTACAAAATTTGCAAATTATAAGGATTATTTTAATGGTAAGAAATGTTTTCGTCTTATTAAATCATATTCATTTCTTAGCATTACAACTGGACCTCGTAAGTCGATTTTTATCTCCGATACTAATATTTCATCTCTCAAATGAATGCAAAATATGGATGGACTTTTGACTTTGATTTCCCGGATAATGATGATAAAATCTATATTAATAGAAATATTAAGTAGATTCTCAGTAAAGTCGACGAAACCCACCACTATTTTGACCAATTAGAATTGCAGCTGTTGTTCCGGTTTCTGTTGCTGCTGCTGCTCCTGCTGTTGCTGATATGGTTTGATGGCAGAATAGTAAAGTAACAAGAAGTGTTTCACTTCGTTCAAATTAAAATGTCCTTCTTGCCGGCAACTAGCACAGAGGAAATCAGCTGGGAATTGGCGTTTCGGAAATTCCGGATCTTCCGTATCACGACCGCGCAAACGTGCATTCACAATATTATGTGCTTGCCATAAATACATGAAAACGTCTTCCGGACGATGCACCTGAAAAATCATTCTTTTATTGCTTTACGCAGCGATTATGTGTTGTTTTTGACAGTAGCTATCGCTGACCTTGTGCTGACCTTTGACAGTCTCCCCAACCCTCTAAGTTCAACGATATCTTATTAATGGTAATTGTTAGGCTATCGTTGACTCAAAGGGATGAAGGGGCGAACAATTAGCGAGTTGTTAGGGAAGAAGCTCGTGATTGATCGTTTTTTGTTATTCTGGGCAAATGCAATTAGGCTGAGCGGCCAACTCAGCTTATCGTTCTGCTAAAAGTAAAGAATTTTGACCGTTATCCCTCGTGTCTCATGCAATTGTATTTTTTCCCTTTCTTTCATCTTTCAAATTGACGTATTCGAAAACCTGGCATACATTGATAGCTAATTTACCATTAAAACGAATGAACGAATCATAGACTGATTAGTTCAGGTATCTCGCCGATTAAAAAAAGAAAGCTCATGAAAAATGAAAATATATATAAATGAGAAAATATAAACCAAGTGAATTTTCCGGTATACCACCTAGTGACCGAAAAGTACTGGTTTCTCTAATGACCTGGCCAGTGGGTACTTCACTACGGAACTCTGCTCTGTGGTACCTGCTTGACAAAAAGCCAAGATTGCTGCACTTACATGATTTTCCATGCGGAACGTTCGCGTTGTCATATTCAGAAAATGGCCTCGGCAATGCCTACAACCAAAGAAATAATCCACCCAATTCCTGATTGCCGCCAGTGGTGCTGTTGGATCGAATTTCGGATCTGCAAAATCGATTTCGAATTAAAAGAAAATGCATATAAAAGCACAGTTATTGAAGCAGGCATAGGTGAGCCATTTATGAACTGATATTTGAAATGTAACACTTGAAATAGATATGCAATTTCGCTTTGTTAACTTTTCTCAGCTACATTTCAAATCGTGATTCTTCACTTTTGCAGCTGAAACTTGCTTTGACCCATGTTGCATCATCTTGTGATCAGCTACTGGCGATCCTGACGCTCGTTTCGTCTACTTAAATTTAGGTTATCAAATGATTTTTTTAATTAATTGTGTAATTGCAATATATTATTACCCTTTAGAGTGTAATATGAGTAGGGTTGTTTGTATGTGTGTGTTTGTGTGTGGGCAGAATCAAACGATTGCACATGAAATACCATTATAAACAAAATATCATAAATGGATTAATTGTTTGTGATTAATGGGTCAAGATAATAAGTGAGGTCAAGACAATAAATGGGTCAAGACGATAAGTAGATGCATATACGTGCGTCGAAAACAGATGAAAATATGCCATTAATTATTAGCAATACCTAGTTCCGAAGAAATGCGGGAGGAAGATGAACATGGATTGTACCAATTGCGAAAAAATTACGAAATTCACAACATCTTGGCGATGTTTGGCTTTAGGAAGTTTCCGTAGTACCAACCCAGTCAATAAGGGAATGACTGTAGTACAGTGCAGACCAATATACAGATTTGTCCTAGC